GGGGGGGGGAGAAAAATCAGCATTTCTGGAAATAAGGTGACTTGTATTTGAGTATTCAAATCCAGACAATAAAATCTGAAAGCTATGATCACTGCCAAAACTCAGCAGCACCAAATAATACTGCCCCATACCCACAGGCTGGCATGAGGCAAAGGGTGGAGGAGAGGAGCTCATCCCAAACAAATGTGAATAAGTTCTTAGCAGAACAAGCGAGCCACCACATGAAAAGACATAAATTAAGGGGCTCCTTTCCCTCTGCTCTCCAGCCATTGTTTAATGATTTAACAAAGTAGGTCTCATAAAAACCAGAAAGTTCATCTCTAGTTGAAGATTAGAGCAAAGGTTAAATCCTGTTCTGCACAAAATAACTCTTTATGCCCCTAAAAAAGCAGGCAAACAGGTTTCCTCTCCCCAAGGCCAGGCTTCAGCCCACCTCCAGCCCCAAGCTTGACCCTGCCCTTGGCTGGGCTGCCCCCAGGCAGGGGTCTGCAGGGGTGGGCAGCCTGGGACAGAGCCAACAGCTCTTCAGGAGGAGATTCCACCTGGCTTGTCCCTTCCCCATGCCATGAAAAGGAAAAGAAATGCCGCTCGGCCTTTTTCCTTTACTGCAGCACCCAGCAATGGCTTTGGTATAAGGTGGAAGCACAGGAAAAGGAAGGCGTTTTAATAGCCATCTGATCACAAAGCATAAGTTCTTTGTAATCCTGTCTGGAGATACTATTTTAATATATGTAGAAAATGAAAATTCCAGTGACTAATATAAGGGGATTATTAAGACAAAAACCACACACATAAAAGTAAGGAAGCTCATAAATTGGTTCAAAGGAATATTAGTAACACCAAGTGAAATTATATTTAATCCTGAAAAATGTATTACTTGAGGATTAATCAATTATGCTTTTCAATTGCAATAATCTCTTTTTGAGACTTTTTTTTAAATAGGCTGTTTTTTAACTTAAGCTAAGAGACTGAATTTGATCTCAAATTCATAAGGTTCTATTTAGTTCACAGAAGCTGGGTATTTCCTAGGACACCTAAGGGGTTTGGGCAGCTGCAAATCCATGAATTTCAAAGGCTCTATATGGTGTGTGACTGAGAGATGCAGTCTACCCTGCAACAGCATAAAGGCTGCAAATTACAAAGCGCTTGTCTTTTCAGGGAAATGCTTTGTAATTTGCAGCCTTTCATAACTATCAGTATTTGCTTTCCGTTTACTTTTCTCACTATAACCCACCATACAAAACTTATAAAACAAACAGTAACTTACAAACCTGTTTGACCTATCCCCTGCTCTATTTCGCATGGTCCCCAGGATAACCCTTTTGCTATGGTTAGGAATTCACTGACAGCCACAAGCCTTCCAAGCACCCTGAAAACAGCTTTACACACTTGGTTTCCAAGTCCACTCTGAAGCTCTGGTGTATACATCTCCTACACAAACCAATGCTCTCCATATGTTTAACCAATGCCTCGTTCTTTATGGGCTTTAAAAAAAAAGAAAAAATATGCTTCTACAGAACAGCTCACCATTAGAAAGCTGCATGGGCAGCTGCTAAGCACAGGGAAAAAGTGCTGGACTTTCAGGGTGGAGGAGAGCAGAGAGGGCAAAAGAGACAGCCACAGGGTTAATGCTTCCTATCATGTAAATATAGAGCTGTACAGATTTCAACAGTTTCCCTGCGTTCTGAAAGCCATGCTGTCTGCAGCCTATCAGCAAGTACTGTTTCAGGGCAAAAGATCATCTCCATTATTATTTAAGAAAACAATGAAATGCAGCAAGGTATGACATAAAACACCCATGTTTTGTTATGCCACTTGGGCCCTGGAAACTACACTGATGGCTCCAGCAAGGCTCTCCTGGCACTGGGGACTTCAGAATTCAGGAACTGATCAGCATCGTTTGCTCCAAAGGGCTGAGACTTGTAAGAAAATATCTGCCATCAGCACCCTTGGTTGTCATCAGAATAACACCCTGCATTTCAAATGCATCTCTGGGAGCCAGCGGTATAGTTGGTGTATGCATACTGTGAAGACAGCTGGTACCTAGGCTAACCAAGATGCAAGAGCCATCTTATTTTTTTAATTTTAGAGCTTCAAAACGGATTGCTTAAAAGGTGTGTTAATATTATAATGCGTAAAAGGGCAAAGGACATAAATGCATTGCCTGACAGAGCTTATATAATAAAAAAAGACCATAACAGAAGAATAAAAAAAACCTATCCACCATCCCACCACCCTTTCACTCCTTTTCGCTGTAATCTCATGATGTACCATCTCCCTGCCTTGTAGAATGACAATCCCCACACTATGGTGGACACATCTTGGTCCCCAAATGTGCTGTACTGAGCCTCAAAATAGACTGCTGGCCTCCACCTGCTTCAGGTCTTTTCCTAGTTTGCTCTGTATCCAGTAACTCCAACTGAAACTCAAACATTCACGTTAGTGTAAGAACTTGTCCATCTGCACCAGGTAAATCGATTATGAGCCCCAACAAAATGAACAAGGAGCAGCCAGTGACCCAAATCTTCAGGTTGCCTTTTAACAGCAATAAATCTTCCTTTTACTGCTCTATTTCTAATGCATTTACAGGGCTTTGTTGTGAAACCCGGTGTACACTAAGGATGTTTTTCCAAAATGGCCCTTTATTGTAAACTTTAGTCCAACACTGTGATGTGCCAATAGGCAACAGGACTGTGCAAAGGGATATGACATCTTATGCCCTGGTCACAGGCTGATCTTACCCACTGTCAGAAATGTCACCATGTGCAGGGTGACAGCTATAGCCTATTTATACTGGGGTTGCAATGCAGACACTTGAAATCACATCAATCAAGAACCAGGATGGGCAACTAAAGGTCCTCTTCTGGAAATGTCTTTTAATCGGTAGCTTTAAGGTTCTTGCTAGAAATTTTTTGTGACTTGTAGCAGTTATTCTATTGACTAGAACAGCTCTGGAAGAGAGAGTATCATTTGCTAAACTTTTTTAATACAAAAACTATTTCCTGACAGTTTCCATGCTCTTTCAAGTCTTAGACCAAAGGGCTGGAGTGAGCTGCTTATCTGGTAGCTCCTCTGCCTGCTGAAGCACCAAGCTAGCTGGCATGTCCTTCAGTAGGAGCTGCTCCGTAGCTTACAGAAGGTTTTGCTGTGCAAGATGAAGTCATTTCAGGGAGATACTAAAAGATCTTGAACAACTGTACACTATGCAAGATCATTATCAACAAAATAGCATGCAAGTTGGGATGTTGGACCAAGTTTAGGTATTACACAGTGCCTCAAAAGGGTGCTTAAACCATGTAATGTATACGTGTATCTTTAAAGAGAGAGAATAACATATACACCTCCATCCACCCCTTCTATCAGAGATGTGTGAAAACATATAAAACCAGAAATCATTTCCCAGAGCAGGAGAAAATCTCCCTTTTTCTCTAGAGCCACCTGAGAGTATGAAGAGTGCAGGCATGTCCCACAGTAAGGTCCTTAGAACGTCAGAGCAGAGGGCTCTGACAAATATCCCTCAAGAAATAGCAGTGCTTTGTGACCTGTCATGCAGGACACAGTGCATCTTTCTTCTGACAACTGACATTTGCGGACTTAAGGAAAACAGAGCTTCCTAATATTCGTACTATAAAGGACAGACCAAAGAGTCTGCTTGATAAGAAATACTCCACTAAGGTCTGAATTGTGAAAAAGCTTTAACAAATTCTAATTAAAACTCCTTCCTAAAGACCTATGCATGGACAGAGGAAAGCATGATTTGCTGTAAAAAGCAGAGGTGGGTGGTACAGGTGACAAAATGCAAGTATTGAACTAACGATAAAAGGGAAGAAAAGCTATCAATATAAAGGGAGAAAAGAATGACCAACAAATAAGAAGTCAAGGAGTAAAAGGTTAAAAGTCTTTAAAGAGGTTCTCCAAGTGACTGAGAAGTAAAAATAAAGAAAGATAAGGGGGTAAAGGTGTAGGTGGTGGAGCGGTTCATTAAATAGCAGGTAAAGAAGATTAAGGTAACCAAACAAGAGCTAACTACGAACACAGTAGGTGCTCTTAAGACTGGAAGGTGGGGAAAGAGCTTAGCCCAGACACAATAAAGGAAAAGGAAAAGCCCCAAGTTAAGAGAGGGGGATTGGGAATAGGGAAGGTAAAGCCCCAGACTACTCTCCAGCTGGGCGAACACCTCTTTCTAGTGGGACATTTCAGGCCTTCAGAGCAACCAGACTGCAATTAGGGGTTTACCTTTCAAGGCAAATCCAATAAAAATATTTTTACTGTATAAAATTATCAAAACTTTTGAAGGCTAGAGGCTTAACAGCAGCCTTTAGATCACAAATGCAATCCAATGGCTCTTTCAGTGGTGTTCAGAAATAAACTATATTTAACGTGTCAACCAGATAAAAAAAGGATTCCATTCTTTTGGCATTTTTTTTTTTACCATGATTTTGGCATGGTTTTTTGACCAAACCAACAGCAGCAGCAAAGTAACAGGCTGAGAACCTAACCAAGAAACTCAGTCCAGAATTTAACATAAACTTTGAATAATTTCCTCAAAAGAAAAAAACCTTTACATATTTTTGCCTATTTAAAATTAATTTCATCAGTAACTTGCTAGCAAAGGGACAGAGTCAGAATTTCCCAGCTCATGGTGTGCGGTGGGGTCAGGCTCAAATCTACTTTTGGGCAAGTGAACCGAAGTAGTTTTGACACACCTGCAGAAGCTTTGTTCAAGCACCAATTTCTGACAACTCTGGCCAAGACACTGTCATTCTTTGCAAAGCCCTGGTAAGCCCATATGTCTGCTGGCTCTCCATAGACAAACTATTCAAATAGATCTGACACTCTATTTTTTTTTTTGTTTTAATGAATATTTAAACAAATCCTCAAATTCTCTCATTTATCAAAAAAAAAAAAAAATTGAACTATACAGGCTCCTTTCTGTGGATTCCCCAAGTGATCCCGTAGCGTGGATACTACTCTAATTGAATGTTAAAAAGGAATTCCCCATGAGGTCCTGTGCAGCTGCCCTTCTCTTTTGGGATAAAGGAAAACCAACTCACCTTGCAGTCTCTTTCCATTCCATCTCTTGTCCATCGATGGCCAGAAGTTCATCCAGCTCTGTGAAGAGCTGCGGGGGCGCGGGGCTATCATCTTCCTCTCCGAGGATGAAGCGGATGCGTTCAGCAGCGGGGGAGACTGCGGAGGTGAAAATACTGCGGTTAACAGCCTGAGAGATGACCAGGGACATGTGGCTCCTCTCCTTCCCCTTCTCCCCAAAACCATTCAGCTGCTTCTCCAGGCTGTCTTTTCCATTTGACATCCTAGTCGCTGCAGACGGAGGGGAGTGAGTGAGGGTACTGTCTATCTCCCTCTCTCCCCTTCCTTGCCTCTCACTTCTTAAAAGTTCAAGCTGGGAGTAAAGTTCAGGAAAACTTGCCTCTTCCTACAGTCCTTAACTATGTTACAGCAATTTGCAGCCCTTGTAAAAAAAAGCGCTATCAAGCTCAAAACCAATACGCTCTATGGTGCGTGCCTAAGGAAGGACCTTTCGTACTCTGATCAGCTGAGATCCTTCGTACCCTTTTTTATATGACGTAAAACCAGTTTCAGCCAAACTATTTTGGGGCTTGCTGTGACAGCATCCCATAGCTGGCTTTCCCCTCCCTGCCAAAAAGGCTCAGGCTCCCATTGGGCTGCCAGGCAGGCTGTAACCTCCCCAGACCTACTGCTGGAAAACATAGGAATATTTAACAGAAAGGTTGTCTCATCTATACATGAAGAATGCAACCCAACACATTTAGTCAAGCACCAATGCACTGAAAAAAAACCCAACTGTTCCCATTGGGAAAAGACTGCCCATTTAGGCAAAAGAAATGTTCAACACATGCTCTCTTGATAGCACAAGCAAAGTTAATTTGCATTATTAGCTCAAGAAAAATTAGCAGCAATCCCTTCCTGCAACACACACGATTCAATATTAAAAACCAAGAACGTCACTATCCACATCCCAAGACCTAAGGGTATCTCCCAAAGGCAACTGGAGGTCATGCCACAAGAGCCACCTTGCTGGAGGGCTTCTTGGGGTCTGCATGTTTTTTCTGATCATATCACCTTAAAATGAAGTTACTATCATGTGAAATTTTAAGACAGACATCCTTTCTGCTGAATGTTTATTAGCATTAGAGTTAAACAGCAGACTATGAACTTTGAACAGTTCTGCTAAAAACTTCTTTCTTTTCAAAAGATCAGCTGCCTGTCTGTTGCAAAATAATTAATTACACCAAGTGTCCAATCACCATTGATTTTTCCAGGATAAACAAAGTCTCAATTTGTAATGTGAAAAAAAGGAACCAGTAAGAAACATGCCCTCTTCCCCTTTTTTCTTTTAAAGAAACTTTCATAGCTTTCTTCTTAAATTAGTCAGCAAAGGCTGATGCAAATTAATTTCTTCATCAGTTAAGATGATGATGCTTTCATAATACAAATCAGCTTTCTTTTCTACTGAAAGTATACTTGCAGTCATAAATGCCCTTGCAATTCCCTGGGCATCCAAGTACACTGCCTCACACTGGCAGTGCATCTCAGGTAGGAGAGAATAACACCACACTGAGCCACATATCGGGAAACTCCTGCAGCACTCGGGCCAGGATGGTATCAGGAGTATAGATTGTCAGGCACCTGGTACCTATCAGTCTTTTGGCTTTAAATGTTTAACAGTGGAGCAACGTGTCCCTTCTTTAACAACCCAACCCAGCACCACAGAAGGCAACCTCTGAAAAGGTCTTCAGGGCACTGCATGTCCTGCTAAATGGGCTGGAAAGTGATTTCCTTCTCTCACTTAATCAGGAGCAAGGACATTTACACACTTCTCCGTTCTCCTATCAGTCCTCAGCAGCATTGCCTTTCATCACAGAAACACAATTCCATTACGAAAATCTGTAAAATCCCTGACCGTCCCTTAGTAGCTAGCCTAACAGTCCAGCCTCTTGACCTGCTGGCTACATGTATCAATCTGTGTTTTCCAACACTGCCATCCTGTCTGTGTAGCACAGCCCACACCAATCTCCAACACAAATAATTAACTGCCTAGCATAACTCCTTTCCCAAGCTCGTCATTTCAATGGTACGACTTCATCATGACAGTTAACCACAACTATCTCTGAACACGTGCTACAAGCCTTCCAACACAGACCAACTGGTCTGTGCCTCTGCCACTACATCATGCAAGCCACATGTGGACCATCATTCAGTAAAATTCCCAGACTGGCTACACAAAGACTTTCGTCCGTCCTTTGAGAAAATCCATCACTTGCCACAAGAACAAAAGCTTTCCTTCGATACACTCCCAACAGGAGAGAAAAATACTGCTGAATTTATAGACATTTAGTTACAGAAAAATACACATTAACCCTCTTAGTAATGAACACTCTTTTATAACTGCTATTTCCTACAGAACTTAACCTTCTTCTCAAATATATTTCTCAGAATGTGTGAGGTGAATAATGAGTATTTGATTATTTGACTTGGATGTACCAATTGCACTTTGCAGAACAGTTCCGAAACATTTCTGCAAGCACGTAACCTTATGCATGAAAATTGTCCTTGCAATTATAAAAGCAATTTGGACTAAAAATCTGCATCTAAAACACATTTAAAACAAACATTAGTATAAATAATTAAGATTAACCTATTCTAAAAACGCAACTAGGCGTAACACTTGAGCACATCTTTAGACAGCCACTGGTGCCAGGAGCTTGTGCTGAAAGCAATGCATCCAAGCATCAGGAGGAAGGGTACAATTTCTCACCCATGCTTCAAGGCAGAGATCTCTCACTAGGCATACATAGGGAAAAATACCTATTCAAATAGAAACCAAAGATTCAGCTAAGACTGTTAAATACAAAGAATTCAAAGATGATGCCTGGCCAAAAGAATACAAAACAGTTTACTGCATGAGCCTGCAGACTTCCATGATCTGCCTTCTCATCTTCCCTCAACTGGTTTGAATTTAGCTGAAGAACATCAACATCAAGTGGCTGCTGCTCTCCAGCCATTCGGTGGTCCCACAGCAGTGGAAAGGGCCTGGGGAATTTAAGTTGGATGACTACAGCTCATAGTTGATGGTGTCTGAATTCTGCTGTCATCCTCCAGATGAAGAGCAAGACCTGCTGTCAGGGTACCCGTAACATGCCTGTTCTATCCCCTTTCCCCTTGATCTGCACTAATGACTCTCAGTATACTTTTATATTCTGAACAGAATTTAAATATCACAGTTAGAAAAGCAATAAAATAAATTTACATCCTACCACTTCAAAAGCAACATGCAGCACAGCAAGCGGTTGGTGCATGGAACAGCCTGTAAGAAAAGCAACTGCAGAGCTTCTAGAGGTGCTGAAGGCATCGGTTGCAGCTGATGGGAAAATTATCTCTTTTCAGTCATTTATTACATGGAAGTGTTACCCTGATACTTGATCCCATAACACAATAATTCCACAACCACCCACACCATTTTGCCCACTGATCTGGATCATGAGAGGAGCTACAGAAATGCTCCCACCAAACCTGGACACGCATCACATGTCACCCCTTCTTTCTTTTCTTCTTTGGTTATTGCTTATTTCCCATTAGCTGCATTTAGCACAGATGATAAGGTTCAAAATCCAATTAAGGAATTTGCTGGGTCACAGGTCTCCTATAGCTTGTTTTACCACATGTTCTTTATTGCAATTTCGTAGATTAATGGGCCGTTTATGGGTTGTTTATGTGCTCTCTTTAGCAAGGAGAACATATTTTCATCTTAATCTCCGGAGCAAACACCATGTGCTCAGCACGGGGCAGACAACGGAGTATCAGCCTTAAAAACTGGAGAGCAATTAACCTGAGGGGTGAACTCTGCAGACCTCCTCCCGCCTGACCTTTGAGCACTAACCCTGCCAGTCTGCCCCAGCCTTGACCATCACCTTCGCTTATACCTAATCTGTCTAGTTTAGGAGCTGCTAGAACCAGCACCACTACGACAGGATCAGCTGCCACTGCTGCTAAGTCTTTTTTTAATATTATTTTCCTTGCTGTCTCATTGAAGAAACAACCTGATGATCAACAGAAATATGTAGCAGATAAAATGCTAATCCATGGATTTAGATGGCTAGGATTATATTTTTCCTCTGAACAGAACAATTATGCTATTAATTGCAGATGGTAAAATACTCCAAAGTAACACTTAAACAGAGGTATTGCCATCCATAAGTGACACCTCTTATGTCCACTTTTTTCCCTTTTCTGTTCAGTCACAAGTGGTCCATGAGGCTGCTTAGAAAATACATCACTTGCAGAAAAGAACTAACACATCAGCAGTTTCTCCTAGTTCAATTCAGGCCAATTATGAGTACAATTTATACCCTCGGGTTCCCAAAGGCAAAATCCATCTCCATCAACAGCGAAGAAGCTCAGAAATAGAGAGAGACACATTCTAGCATGACAACCTCAGATCAGCTGCAGCAGTACATTGCATCCTGATGCCAGCCCCATTCCAGCAACCAACAACTCCAGTAGAGAGCCCTCCCTCGCTGCCTGGCAGAATGGGATGGGATGGGATGGGATGGGATGGGATGGGATGGGATGGCAGGTGAGGTGCCTGTGGTACTCCCTGCCACATGTGGAATGCTGGGGGCCTTTGTGGTATTGACATGTATCCTAAAGTCACCTCCTGCTTCATGGCCAAGTTACAAGCACCTGGGTTGTGGTGGGTGGAAGATGGTTACAGCCCGCATGTCTAGGTGTACGATGCTGCCTTGGGACATGGCACACTCATTTGTGTTGATGTACAAGCAAAACAGCCAACATGGTTTTCCTCCTGTTTTTTCATTTAAATACCTTGGGACCTGCACCTCAGTCAACTGTTTCCTCCATTGAAGACCAAAGAGACCATCTAACATGAAGTTCTCCATTACTTTGAAGTACATCAGCAGCTACAAAAATCCCCAAGAGACCTAGTGTAAATCCTTCCTCAAAGCCTGTGGTAACATTATCAAGGAAGGCTATTTGTCAAACATGCTTTCCAAATACGCTTATTAAAATAGGACATGATTATACTCCCATTAATTCTGGGACTTGCTCTCACTTAGCCAAAACTCAGTTCAAATCCACCTGAAGTCAGAGCAAGCCAGTTAAGTTAAACAGCTGTGCAGACACTTTTA